CCCTTTATTATTTCCTTTTTTTTTATTTTCCTGATTGTTGTTGTTTTTCAGCTCCTTATTTTAATAGCTTTTAAATTAAAAAGCCATTTTATTGTCTGTAAGGTTTATCACAGGCGCACTCAGTAGGGTTAGACAAGCGCACCCTTTCTGAGGCTGTCGTTCTATTGGCTGGAAAGGTTGCTAGGCGGCGATCCGATCCAATTATAAGTTTTGAGTGCAAGAAGATTAAATTCTTTTCTCAAATTGAAATTATGTGCTCTTGCATTATGGCAGGATCAATCTCCCATAGGCTTTGGATGTCATCTATTTTGGCTCCTCCCCCAAATGAAGAGCCCTTCTATACTCGACACACACACCTTGAAGCCTCGCTCATCTCATAACATCGCCGGCTATAACTAACATACCGAGAATATATTTTGTAATGGAATTCATGGATTTTTGTAAACTATTTTAAGTTATGCAACAATAACGTATGATGCAGGCTTTTGAGGACAGTGAAAACTTTGGAGGTCAGAGCTACAGAGATATTGCATCATAGGGGGAAACTAAATGCATCACCCTCCCTCATCTTCCTTCCTTCTCAGGCTGCATTCGGCCTCCACTGTCGTCCACAGCGCTTCTCTCCCCGGTGACCAGTCTCAGCCGATCATCATCTCCGACACGCCGAGCCCCGCCGTCAGCATCATCACCATTCACAGTGACTCGGAGGACGAGGGTGAGACAAAGGTCATGGCTGCCTGGTGAGCTAAAAGCAAAGCTTCATTTTACCGATTTGCAAAAACAGAAAGTTTTTCATAAGTGGAAAGAAAATGACGCATTGATAATTTAATAACAATTCCAGCTGCAGGACTTTCCTTTTATTTTGTTTTTGTTAGAGTTCTCTCTAAAGACTCTAAATAGCTTTTATGTTGTGTGATTTTTGCTGCGTATGGCTTTTCTTTTTATGCGATGGATAAATGGAGATTTTTCTGTTCTCCTGCAGCTCTGGAACGAGCCAGAGAACAAACGTGATCAGCTGCGTGACGGTGCACGACTCCCATGACTCGGACTCTTCCAGCAACAGCAGCCCCCTGAGGCCTGAGACCAACTCGCAGCCCTCCAAGTCTCTGGCCATCGTCATGCCCTCGGTGAAGACTCAACCCGTGGAGAGCTCAGCCAGCAAGTCCACCGCAGCTTTAGGTCCATTTCAAATATTTTATCCCCCCAAAACTGCGTTTTTTTAATCTTCAATCCACTGCCTGATTTTTCTCTCATCTCTGGTTCTGAACCAACAGATCAGGCAGCTGGCGTCTCTGCAAAGTCCAAGAAGGCGTCTGCCCAATCGTCCTGCAGGTCCGGTGATTCCACCGCCGATCGTCATCAGCGGGTGGCGTCCAGCAGATCTCAGCCCCTCAACCTCAGTCAGGTAGCAGCGGCGACAATCCCATCACCATAGTAACCATCCAACTTTTTTACATTGGTCTCATTGTGCCTGGACTGGGAAAAAAATTATCTTACTTGGTTTTTACTCCATTAAACCATAGAAAGCATTGGGTTACATAATCAGGAAACAAAAGGACACACTATTAGTTTTCAAACCTTGTTTGTTGAATAAAATTGATCGCAGCCAGTTACGTTTTTGAACTAAAGGGTCCACATTTAACTTATTTAACATAAGGACTCCAGATGTCTGTGGGAGAACATAAGTGAACTCTCGGCTTTGTTCAGACCAAAGAACCAAACGCTGAGGAGTTTGAAGCAGGACGAGGTGAAATATGGAATGATTTTTGTTCCATTATTGTTGCAAAAAATAAAATAAAAATACATTTGCTAAATGGAAATTTGAAAAACAATTGCAAATACTATTTTAATCTTAGAAATAAAACTGAAAAACGTCCTAACAAAAAAAATGTTTTGAATAATTTTGCATTTTTCTCAGATTTTATTCAATTCAGTTTATTTCTATAGCGCCAATTCACAACACATCATCTCAAGGCACTTTACAGTTCAACCAGATCATACAGATCGTATTCATGTTTAACTAAATTTTAGTTTTATGTTTGATTTTTTTTTTTTTTTTTTTGTCATTTGAATCATGTAGGTTATGCTTTAGTGAGGGTTTTACAAAATAAATTTTGAATTTTAATGTGAGTCAGTGAACTGAATTTAGATACCTTTAAAGGAAAAGTACGGTCAGCAATGAATAATTAGTGGATCATTATCTATATCTAAAACTAAGTCGTTTGTGGTGATTTAATGTATTCAGAAAAAAAAAAACGAAAACAAAAATTTTCGTTGCGATCAGTGAGTCCGAGAGCGGCCATTTTGGCCCAAATGTAGTAACCCCTCCCTCCTGCCATCTTCCAGCAGTGACGTCACGGTGCGGTAAGCCTAGCGCCATTCTCCCCGCTTTACAAGCAGAATCAGTGGGAACTACTAGACTAAGATGTAAAGCTCTGTCTACACCTGAAGCGTTCTCTCTCCGGTTCGTTTTCCTGAAAAGAGATCACTCGGGACAAATTCTATAAATAACAATTCTTAACATATATGTACTTAATAAACATGAGGCATGACAACAGATTTTGATAGAAATTGTAATCTTACTCAGATTAGAGAAGTTTAACAGTTAAAGAAGCCTTTTATACATCTTCCATGTCAGCAGGAAGGAGACATCCATGGCTCCAGCCTTATCAAAATATTACATTTTGTTCTTAGCTGAAGGACGCCGCTCTCATTCCATTCCTAAATATTTGCCATGTACAGAATGAAGATTATAGCTGTATATAGCCGGACCGAGGAACTGGCCTAATTAGATCAACTACGGGGGAAAACGGTGCTGACGCGCAACAGGCAGCTGATATTAAAGGAGAATTCCGGTTTTTAACACTTTTAGCCCATTTTCT